ATATTTTTTTAAATGTATAGCTGGTAATTTTCTTTTCAAAAATGTATTGCTGGTAATAATTTTTCTTCAAAAATTTATTGCTGGCAATAATTTTCTTTACAAAGAATTTCTGGTATTAAAACTTTTTTTTACACTTTCATATTGTTTTGACCCCATTGTTGGACGGTCCCCTCAAAGATGAAAAAGAGGCTCGAGGCAGCGGAGATGTGGTTCTACAGAAGGATGCTAAGGATATTATGGAGCGAACGTGTGGACAACGATGAAGTCTTGGAAATGATGCAAACAAGGAGGAACTTATACTTGACATAAGTTTGGGGGCTAACTATTTACCCATAGGCGGGATCTTAATAGGTACTACCACCCTGGGTCAGGGTGGACTTGGGAACATCAGCAATTAAGAGGAGGTTCCCGTTCTTCAAAACCTCCTATAAGAACCGCTCCTATATGACCGTGGTACTCCATTTTCTGGCTGATCTGACTCTTTCAAAGGTAGACGGTAGTAGTAGGATTCAGGTATTTGAATAACAAAAGGTGATTAAAAAGTTAAAAAAAAATTGTATTAAGAAACAGCTTACTGACCCGCTGTGTAATGTCAATCTTTCTATAGGTCAGTGAATTTGGACAATTCCATCACAAATGAAAAGAAGACTTGCGCAAACAGAGATACGGTTCTAGAGAACTATGCAGAGAATTCCATGGACTGAGTATGTGAGGAATAGGGAAGTTTTGAAGAAAAAGTGAAAAACGTGCACTTATATTCAGAATCAGAAAATAGATAAGAAACTATTTTAATACTGGTGAGCAGCCACCGGTGGGCAGCCTCTGGGGAGGTGGCGAGCAAATTAGATATACAGTAGATATAATTATTATTATCGATATGTTTGCATAATCAATACAATACGTTTTGTACGCACATTGTGATACTGAATATCTTCCTTTGCATCGCTATATATATATATATATATATATATATATATATATATAATTGAGTATATGGGCAGCAATCCCTCTTTTCTCCAAGTTTCTTTAAAAACGACTGATAAGGCACTACGGTTATTTTTTTTATGTAATTTTTCTTGTGTTTTAGCTATTATCACGGATGATTTTATTTTTAGTTTCAACTGAATGTATGGGTTGTTTTATGTACATAACTAGGATTACAGGAATCCATATATTCAGTTAAAAGGTGACATTTGGACAATTTGTAGATAAGTTATGTCAAGGAAACAAGAAGATTATAATAACACAAGAAAATTTAAGCGTAGTAACTTATCAGTCGTTTATAATGAGTGATATAGTGAAGACTGTTACGCTGTATCACAGCTCCTCAGTGTGGCTAGACGTCCGATTTTTTGAAGCAGAGATCGAAACCCGAATGATTTGATACCGGTCAGATATCTTACCCCTCGTACATCGTTGCACTGCAGAGGGAAAGGAATTTTAACGTTTTTTTTTTCTATAAGAAATACGCCAGCGGTTTGGAGAATATAGCACATAGCAGTAGGAGTCACTGTTTTTAAACTCTCCCTTTCCTTCGAGAGCTCAACCGGATTTCGGGTATATATATATATATATATATATATATATATATATATATATGTGGGGGGTGAAAGACCCTGAACACGTTGCAAATGCAAATAATACGGATACAAAAGATGCTCTTGAAGTACCCTCTATGTGGTACTGCGGGATCTACGACACTTGACAATTGCTGATACCCGAATCGTCTCCGACAGACTGTAGAATGATTTCTTTGGGGTCAGGCTTCCTCGATCCATAGTTTTGTGGTACCACGGATTCTGTCTCAGTAACACTACGTTAAGTAGCAGCAAAAGTTGGATGACTCGGCTGCCTTCATTCTAGAAATGCAGTCTGATACTGCCGTACAGCTTTGCGTCCATTACCATTTGCGAAACCGTATATCATGCCATTGTTAAATGGAAAACATTTTAGTTAACTCACTACTACACGCATTAAACGTAGAAGACAAATGTGCACGAATGACAAATGTAATCTGGTCCATATGGCAACACACCACCATCTACCGTAAGCTTTCTTTAAACTTAATAACTTACAAAAAAAGAATTTGCAGACATGTTTATATGGATTTTATTTTGTTTTGGTGTGAGGAGCTCGCCCCAAAGTTAGTAAAAGTATTTTTGATACACCCTGTATATATACCGGGCGTAACAGCAAAATTGTCCAAATCCTACAACAGCATTTTCCAATTTTTAGATTAAGCTATGAACTAATGTATCTTAGAAATGATTAAAAATATCTTACTGGAATTCTCCGATGTTTTTATAAAACTATTGGACAATAAGAATGTATTTAATATATATATACATTTCTGACAGTCAACCCTTCAGCATGTCCCTCTTGTAGACTTGTTTCCAAATCCCGTGTAGAATTGTTCTCTCATGGGAAACATAAACATAAAAACTGAACTGAACGACATTCATATGTCGAAAATGACCGGAGAGTCCATCATATATATATATATATATATATATATATATATATATATATATATATATATTAGGTAACAGAGATATCCAAATTACCTCATAAGTATAGTCTATTTCAACTAAAGGAGAATGTGTCAGCCTTGTTCAACTCAGACGGTGGACTGTATTCAGATCTATCTATCTATCTATCTATCTATCTATCTATCTATCTATCTTTATAATTATATAAAAACTTTGTTCCCATTAAAAATTACCAAAATAGGCTTACAAATACTAAATAATATGATTAACAATAATTCGTTTTAGATAGTTTATATTAAGAAAGAATATATTAAAAAATTAATGAATAAAAAAATAAAACATAATTATTTTAAACATTTAAAATTTTTAAAGATAAGTTAAATTATTAAGAATACAAACCATACCCAGTAATATATATATATATATATATATATATATATATATATATATATATATATAAAATCGTTTTTTTTTTTTTTTAAATATAAGGGTAAAGAATTAAGTAATCAAAAGAAAAGGGAGTTCATCAAGTAGTGGAAGGTTAGGGCACCGTGGTGTAATGGTTAACAAGTTTGTCTTGCTAGATAAATTACTACTGTGTAGTGAGTTCGATTCTCACTGGGTACCTCATACTTTCGGCCTTGTTCCACATCTAAGCTACGCTTAGCAAATCAACAAGAAGTGGAAGCTTATAAGATAGGATTGATAAAAAGAAGGTAAAATATAGAAATAACTATAGTAATATGTTTAACAGTAGAAGGGTTTGATAATTAAAAATAAAAAAAATTACAGAAGTTTAAACCTACTTCTGTGACGACATTTAAATGACATTTCGTAAGAATAATATATTTCGTTTTATAAAACCCCCTTTTTGGCCTTCCTTTAGTTTCAATTCATTTTTCTTATAACCCCAATTTGAGCTTTTACGGTTATTATCTGGGTTGAATTTGTATAGCTTCTTTCCTTTTAAGATCCTTAAATAATTGTATAGCTTCTTTCCTTTTACGATCCTTTTCTTACACAACTCGGGCAGTCTGTCCTATCTGCTGAGTTTTGAGTTGGCTCTCTATCAATTTTTCAAATGCTGTCTTTGTCAAATATTAAATTTTAAATCTCTAGTTCCGACACTGAATAGAGTCCACAGTCTGAGTTGAATAAGGATGACGCATTCGGCGTTAGTTGAAATAGACTATACTCATGAAGTAATTTTGTATTTCTCTGTTATGTAATATATATGCTTTGTTATAATAAATATACTGAGATCTTTTTGTGGATCAGTTTTAATATTTTATGTTATTAGGATCCACTTATTATATACCAACGAATTTATTACCTGTACTATACACACACACACACACACACACACACATATATATATATATATATATATATATATATATATATATATATCCCCGATGCAATGAGAAGGAAATATATAAATTCTAACGTTCACAGCATTAATCCTATAGAGGATCCCATATCTATAGTTGAGCGATAATCATTTATTATAATTTTATCATATAGACAAAAAACAGTTTGCTCACCACAAACCGTCGAGGTGCAGTTGAAATGCACCGAAATGAAGATGCATTTTTGTAATGAGTAAACTGTTTTTGTCTATATGATAAAATTATAATTAATCTATCTATCTATCTATCTATCTATCTATCTATCTATATATATATATATATATATATATATATATATATATATAGAGAGAGAGAGAGAGAGAGAGAGAGAAAGAGAGCGGGGGTAGCCATGCATTTAAAATATAAAATAATTAAAAGAATGCATTAGTGTATTAAAATATACTATAATATATGAAATAGAACGTTTAAATGATTTGGTGTTAAAAGTTTTAATGAAATCCGAGCGCTTACTTCTGAAGACGATATGACAGCAGCGTGAAGGAAATACATAGAAAGATGATTTTTTTTTTCAAACAAAGTCAGCTCTTTTAGTTTCCATTTGAACATTACTTAATCAATGTGTTTAGGATTTTGAATCAAAACAATTTACACGCTTCGTTTAAGAATGAGAAATCAGAAATGAACAATTCCAGTTGGTTGACTTGCAGATTGACACGTATTTAACTGAAACGGCTTTTCTCATTTATGGCCACTTAAGCTAGATTATTTCCGGTAATGCGTTTCACTGAAATCTTTCTATTAGAATGATTTATGATATTGATATACAAAAAGACAAAACTTTACGCGTTTGCAGGGAAAAGCAAATAATACACAAGGCGGGGAAAAAAAATCTTCGTCTATGATAAGATCAGCTTCTTTTTTTTTTTAAATTTTGTATCATTTTAGAAACGTTAAGAGTTTGACGTGCAAGAGCCTTACATTCTTGGCAATATTTCCGCAGGAGAGAACTTTATCAAAGTGACAGTTGGAGAATTCGAAAAAAAGCAATTGCTATTTTATTTTGTTAATCTGTATCGTTTAATGTGTAATGCTTTGTCGATTGTGTATTTGATTGAATTTGTGAAGGAGATATGAATCTGTGATGATTACAGCACTTGAGAATTATCCAATTACACCTGCAAAAACTATCCCGATGGCATTAGATCTAATTCTATCTCAGTCTGATCTATCTATCTATCTATCTATCTATCTATCTATCTATCTATCTATCTATCTATCTATCTATCTAAGTCCGACAAATTCAATTTATTTATCACAGCTTGAAAAATTTTAAGTCTGATCAGTTTTATCTATCTATCTATCTATCTATCTATCTATCTATCTATCTATCTATCTATCTATCTATCTATCTATCTATCACAGTCTGAAAAATCTATCTCAGTCTGATTAATTCTATATAACTCTGATCTATCTATCTATCTATCTATCTATCTATCTATCTATCTATCTATCTATCTCAGTCTGATCAATTTTAAGTGTGATCTATCTCCGTGTTTATCTATCTATCTATCTATCTATCTATCTATCTATCTATCTATCTATCTATCTATCTATCTATCTATCTATCTCAGTCTGATCAATTTTAAGTGTGATCTATCTATCTATCTATCTATCTATCTATCTATCTATCTATCTAATATCGGTCTCTATATCTACTCATATTATTGATTCATCAACCGTTTGTTCTGTTTCTCTTCCTCCCCAGGCGTCTCTTCTGATTTTACTACAATAAGTTTTTCGCCTGAGGTAAACATCAAGTTTCGTATATCAAATTTCTGACTAGTCAGCCATCTCTATGATAGATTTTATTGCTTAATGTATGCATATTGTACCCAGATACATTCATTTAACAATGACCTCTTCACCATCCAAGTGGCAACAATATTTTCTTGTGCGATTTAATAGACTGGAATTAGATTATCTGAAATTTTAGGTTTTGGTGAAGTAAGCAAGACGGATGAAATGGCGCCTCCAGCTATTCTTATCTAAAAGTGGCGGCATTACGAGGATAGAGAACAAAACTATGAGTAGAACAATTGCAAATTTTAGATAACGCTTTGTTAAAAGCAAAAAAAAACATCGCATTTGTATACATTAGTATTCTAACCATTTATGTCTGCTCGTAACGATCAAGCGCTGTTCGTGCTCTGTTTTTCTCTGAATATATATATATATATATATATATACATATATATATATATATATATATATATATATATATATATATATATATATATATATATATATATATATATATATATCAATGTATATTTGAATAGCAATCTTTCTTTTAAACCTGTTTTGTTGAATATGACAGACAAGGAAAATGTAATTATTTTTTTATTTAGTTTCTCCACCATACTTACATTTGATGGGAGTAATCGAGTGCAAAAAGTATCCGTATTATTCATTGACCCAGGCATTTTCAGCCAATTCTTTCGTCATTTTCAAGAGGGTTTGTTTTAGGTGTTTTTAATTTTTCTCCATGTTTGACTCATTGAGATGGAGTTTTATGCGATTTGTGCTACACTAGTAGGAGCGTTTATTTCGAGCTTTGCGCATGTCTGGAATTCGAATGAGCGCCTTTTTTTTAAAGCAACTTTCAATAAACCATTCCTACTGTTAAATAAGGTGAGGTTGATATTGGGAACGAGATGTTTAATATACAGGGCCACTCATGCAGCGAAATGTTTCCGGAAATGTGATAGAATATTTAGTGCTTTCGACCAGAGCTTTTTTTTGTAAATTGTGAGAAGCTAATTGTCATATATATATATATATATATATATATATATATATATATATATATATATATATATATATATATAACATTTAGCTATTTAGGCTGTTCCGAAAATTCCGATTTGTACAATCTTTCTCATCATGCTTCCAAAATATCTACTGATATACAATAAATGATATTACACTTATCGATATTATTATCGGCTTACTATAATTATACACAACTATATATATTTAATCATATATTAATTATATATTTAATTAATATAATTATCCACATACACGTCTGTTTCACAGCTAATTAGTGTGGCTAGACATCCGGGATCGAAACCCTACCGATTTGGCATCCTAAGCTACCACTCTAAGCTATTATTAAGTTTCTAAATAATAAAATGTGTACACATTATTAAGTTTCTAAATAATAAAATGCGTGCACATTATTAAGCTTCTAAATAATACAAATCTATTAAACAATAGACATGAGTTAACGGTTTTTTGCCGACATCATCAAATTTTTGCATTGAATAATTAGCATAAAACAAACAAACAATAAAATAATTTTTTAAATCCATAGTCCTAATAAATAGTTTAAATGCTCTACCAAAAAAGATAACCCTTTATGAAGTCGTCAAAAAACAAATGTTAGCGATTTACGACAGTTTTTATATACACAAAACCCTTTCAGAAAAAAATAAAAAATAAAATAAAAAAATAAATAAATCTCCATAGACGCTTAACCAGACTAGGTGATGTCTTCTCCCGCTTTAAATTTTAACACCCCAACCTTACCCTGACTTGACATCTGTGAATGTAACTGAGATATTGATACAAATTATTAACACCTTACGCCCCTTTTCTTTAAACAATTGCTCTAGCCGTTACCATAGAAATTTTGATTTTAATAATGAATATGCTTATAAAACACGTAAATTTCAGAAATAAGTTATTCCAAAAAAAAAATTTCGCTTGAAGATGGAACAGAGCTTAGTACTTTAATTCAATTTAATTCAAATAATTATATTGAAGTTTTCGGCTCTTCTTTTGAAACATGATAACTCTTATGTAGCGTGTTGGAATAATATTTTTAAATAAATAATTATATTTATGCTCTACTTTTGTATCGAGCACTATTTTTTAAAAATAATAACAAAAATACTAAAGAACTTTGGATTATCTACCTAACGAGTTCTTTCCTATTTTCTATATATTTTTCATAGAATTTGTGTAATTTGTCAGGCTACAAATATGAGTAATTGAATATTACACCAATTAATTTTATTGTTGCTTATTTATTTGTAATGATGAATACCTGCATTTTTTTCTCATCATGTCATCACTGAAAGAAAAGATTATTAGTGCTGCTTATATAATAATGTTTCCTAACGTCTTGCCTTTAATTGTATTTTTGTCGCAATGACCGAACAAATATATGATAAACAAATAACTAAAAATATTAATATAAATTAATAATGAAGTCAGTCACTTATGTGCCATGAATAATACACGCTTAGGCGATCATGTATCTTTCGATACATGGCTGACGAGATAGATTTTTCCCGCAGTAGGTTGCCATTTCTTTCTGCGGTTGTCCAGTTACCATCCAAGGTTACAGAAAACAGTCTGTCCTGGTATTTACCCATAGCTGGGGGGAGAAGAATAGGATTTATTAAGGGTATTAGCACTTAAGTGAACGTAATTGATTCTACTGGAATTCGAACTCTGCTCCCCGATTCTTCAATCTGAGCCGCTATCCATTACTCCACCGTGCGTCCAGAGCAGCGAAAGCATTATTTAATATTGACTTTATTGTGGAGTCTTATAGGACACATTTTTAAACGATTTTATTTTGCGTTAACTTATTTTTTTTTTTTTTTTAATATTCATAGAATGATGTAGAATTATATGCAAATGAAGATTTCAGGAATTAATTCATGGGGAGCAATAATATTCCATATTGTAAATAAATAAAAAAAAACAATCGAATTTAACTGGTTTCATTTTTAAATGATGCATAATTAAAAGAAAACATCATTAAATACAAAAGTTTTTTTTTTCTTTAGATTTTCTACGTTTTAATTTTTTTTAATGAAGTAAATCAATTTATGGAGTAAAGATATAGCTTAACGGTTTCGGTGAAGACAGTTTTCGGGCAAATAAAATTCACTGTTATGAATCCAACCCATTTGTTTATTCATTTTAAAGGCTAAATAAAAAGCTACGATGGAAAATAATATATATTTATGATAGGTATGATAACAAGCAAAATTTTGAACTAGGTTTTTCGGGTTTTATTTCCAGATTTTAAAAAATAATATTTCCATTTTATATGTTTTAGGGTCGAAGTTTACTTTTTGTGGAGTTAATACTTGCTCGAATAAGATTTTATTTTCTGTTTCCTTTTTCGTTTCAGGAGCATCGTTTACTTTTTTGTAGAGTTAATACTTGCCTGAATCAGATTTTTTTCTTCCTAACGGTAGAGTGAATATAATTATTTAATGAAATGCCTGTTCTGTGATTTATTAACAAAATCCGTCATTTTTACAGTCATTTAGTTAGCGTATAAAGCGAATGAGTGCGACTGGAATTAGTGTCGGTTTAACAGTTCCATTTCTTTGAAATATCCAAAACTGCTGTTAATATTGACCAATTAAATCAACGCTACAGGAAGAGACGGGCAGGTAGAAAAAAAAGAGAATAAACATTCTTAGAATTATCTATGTTGGGTTCTATTTCATTTGCACTGATAACGTCCGTTCTTTTTATTCGTACAGTTTTCTTATTCTCTTATTTCAGCATCTACAGATTCCCAAAGCTACTTCTAATGACAGTGCAAAGAAAGCATCATCGGTAGAAGCACGTTTACTGACATAAAACGTGGCGAAAACACTCAGTGAACGACATTAATAGATCAACAAGTAAATATATAAACAACATCGTATGAAACTCATGTAACCCTCAATTACTTATTAACATGTGCTTCAGTTCACACTTCTGCTCGATTATTTCGAATCCATTTAATGCCAACATTTCATTTTTCCCTTCCTCTCTAAATATCTTTAAAAAGAAAACAAATACATACGGAAACAAACCTAGCGTCTGAAGGCGTCCCCATAGTATCGGGAATAAAACTCGTGCCCCACAAATTAGCAGAAGTCATAACAGAAACAACAAGAAGAAAACACTAAGACTGTAGCGGACCGTGGCGGTGTAAATGTGAAGAACACACGTGGGTTAAAATATCCTGCTAGCCTGTCCAACTAAATAAGAAAGTTGGACTTTAATTAAGTCCAAAGAAGACAAAGAGAACAAACAAGACCGATAAATATATGTTTTTTTTTTGTTTTTTTTAAGCGTTTCACCCCAAGCAAGGCGGGAAACCACTGGGATGCAAGGGGTTACAGAAGATTTGGAGCAAGATCAGATAGGAATCATAGAGGAAAGGATGAGGAGAAGGCTAGTAGATAGATCAAGGCAACTGGAGATATCGATTGACATTACATTTTAATAGTTGGAGATTATCGCTCTCAGGGAAACAGTAATAGGGAAGGGAGTTCCACAGGCGAGAGGTGCGAGACATGAAGCTATTGGAGTAGAAGAGACGGCTACATTTAGGAGTTTCGACAGTGAAAGGGTGAGAGTGGGATGCCAGCCTCGCAGGGCGCTTGAATTCATGAAGTCTGGGAACCTCAGAGCAATTACCATGAAAGTATTTGTAAAAAAGACAGAGAGATGCGACGGCGCGTCTGAGAGAGAGCAACTGTAGACGAGATGCCAGAACAGGGCCAATTATATTGCATATCCGCCTCTGGATGTTATCAAGAACGTAAACAAATATATGTATTAATAACAAGTTACAGGTTACAAGCACATGGACAGTTACATGGACAGAGTGCGTGTGGT